GGAGGGAAGAGGAAGAGAGGATGAAAAAGTAAAGTTTTTGGGCCAAAATATCACTTTATAATGCCTGTTAGCAACCTGGTTGCTCGAGCGAAGGAAGCTTGGCTCGAGCATGGAAAAGAAGCTCTCAGATTTTCTGAAAAACGCACTCTTCGCTCGTGTGAAGAAGGTCTCACTAGAGCAAGCATGCTTCCAACACATAAACTAAAAATTCGAATAGGTGTAACTTTCTCGTTCGGACTCCGTTTTAGGTCGTTCTTGTGTCCAAATTGAAGCTCCGGAAACAAGCTTTCCAATGTTTCTAGCGTCACATTCAAATTCAAAGTATGGAAGGAGAAAAGTGCAAAAGAGTAAAGGTTGGACAAAAGCTCAAACTCAAACTTGGGGCTTTTTATCTAATCTTACCTAAATACCTTGTTAAGGCTTCAATCAACGTTCCAAACATCACCCAAGAGTACTAAATTGTAATATTTAAAGTTCACTTGCCAACCCATCAATATTAAGAGTTCGACAACCATACAAGCTTTAAGGTGACATGCACCACTTTACATCAATCCATAGTGAAATAAAATCCGAGTCATTACACACATGTGTGGCTAGCTATAACAACTCCTCAAATTGCCTCCTGTAGACACCTTATTTTGACCGTCCTTAAGACTTGGGCGCTTTATTCCAAACAACCAATGATGAAACGTTAACCTGTGCAAACTTTTGAATCTTCAGCAAAGGAATTCGGTTTTGAGCTTTAAACAGAAACCTTACACCCTATTTTGACCAAAACCTTTTTTCTTTTAGTTTGAAAACTCAGAGAGCAGTAGGCCAACAGATGGCCGGCATGCCATTTTCCATAGGCTGGTCGTACATCTAGTTGGCTGGCTTGCCATGTTCAGTGCTAGATTCTGTATTTGCAACACAGGGTGCTCCCATGCACGGGATTTGGTCAGCTGTCCTTTGTTGAAGACATTTCTGACGTGAGAGGCTGAAATTCTATAAATAGACCAACTCCCGTCAAAGCTTAGGGTTGGAAAACTTTTCCAAAGTCCTAGAAGATTACGCGAAGTGTTCTCTACCCTCTTGAATATAGATACACTATTGAAGCTCAAACTTAAAGCGTTTTGCTAAGGTTTTGAGCCTTATTTCAGATACTTGAGGGTGTTTCGACTAGAGTTTGTGAATCAAGAAGCTCTTTCTCTTTTCAAGAGGTCAATCTTTTAACACTTTTCATTAACTTTTCTTTTACTCTTTTGTTCTTCATTCTCTATTATAATACTGATTTTCAGAGTTATTTTAGGCTTAAAAATGTGATTTAAACCTTGTTGAAGGGGGAACGGTTAGCCACCCTTCCATAGGCTTATCCATTGGTGGTGTCCTCTTTGTTTTCTTCATGTTTTTCCTCTTTTGCTTCTCTTCTTTTGGCTAATTTAAGCACTGTTTTAGGTTGTTTGTGTGAATATGAAATAAATGTATTTGTTTAAAGCTTTAAATAGTTAGCCTGATTCTTGATTCTCACTCTTTTCTTCTAAGTGTTGTAAGCTCTCTTCTAGTTCCATCTTTGAAGCATGGAAATGGATATCTCATCCTTATTCCATGAGTAGGAATATGAGCTTACATCAAGTTTTTATAGCTTTCATTCATTTACTTAGTCTTGCTTTTGGTTTTGCTTTGAAGACAAAAGAGAGCTTTTTCATCGAATGTATTAGAAACTCTCTTCTAGTTCCTTTTGAAGCATGGAAATGGATATCAATCCATATTTCATGAGTAGGCAGAACAGTCTCTAATTGCTTTCTTCAATGACGTAATCTCTTGTTTAAAAGCTTCACTATTCAAAAATGGATTTTTCTAAACCCATTCTCTCTAAATTTGAGTACTCATTTACTTATATTTTTTATGAGATATAGTAGGTTTCAACCATCTCTTTGAATGATTCATTTTTTAATTGGCTTTAGTCATGTACTTATTGAATATTCCATGTCGTTGCTTCATTAATCATCATCTAATACTCTTAGGATGCTTGATGATTTGTGAAGCAAACATATTCTCTCCTTGAATATCTTCATAATAGGAGGGAGCAGGAAGGATGAACATCCTTTGGAAACCCTCTGTTTTTGCTCTATTCCAGTTCTGTTGTAGTAGATTTTCTTCAAGAATCAGTGGTCGACCGGCCATCAAAGTGTACGGCCGACAAGTTCATAAGGCCAATTGACCAACTCCTTTGTACGGTAGCGGTGATTATTTAGCAAAGCAGAGCAGATCTTAAGGTCAAAATAGAACTGTTTTTTGGCTACGAAAAGGGCAATTTCTGGCAACAGGCAGAGAGGTTTTCGAAGGTTGTTGTTGCTTGTGTTGTGAGACCGTAACTTTTGTAAACCTTATTAGGTCCCTAAATTTTGAGTTATTACAATAAAGACCCTCGATCCCATATTTATTTTTCAATTTTAGCTATAGAATCGAAAACGTGCGCCAACCGAAAACTCGCGAACCTCGATTGAATCTGAGAACTCAAGGACCATTTCTAAAACCCTAATAATAATTAAATTAATATTTTTCACAGAGAAACCCTAGGTTTCTCCAGTTTTTATTATGTTCGTCGATTGATAATGTAATAATCCGACCCTCGTACATGATTCTGGTATATTTGTAGCCCCTTATTCTGTGCTTTTAAATGCTTATTGTGAAATTAAGTTTAATTAAGTGAATCCTATGATTATGGATGCATATTTGTCTAATAAGAGAAAAATCTGTCACAATTCTAATGTTTGGATCATAAATTGGAAGCCTTAGAAGCTTAATTATCTGAAATTAATTTTATATCAAAGACCAGCATGATTTTTAGGTTATAATATAATTTTTTGCGAAATTTCAATTTCGAATGACTAAAATGATTGATTTTCATCCTTATTCATTTTATATATATATATATATCTAAGTTCTTTGGACTCTTGACTTAGAGCCATTTTCATAAATATCTCCTGGGGAAGAATTTGAGAGGAAGAGGAGTTCTTCAAGGGAGAAGATTAGGGAGTTGAGAAGGTTTGTGGAGATTGAACCAAGGTATGTATGAATCACTTTAAATAACCTCTCTTTAACCTCTTCTTAGGGGTAGTAAGAATACTTCCATGCAAGCTAGAGTTTGTCTGAGAGATCAAGTGTGTGTGTCAATTGTTTCATTGGGAAACATTCTTAGCATTTAGTTGTTTGGAGGTACTTTGAATTATATGGGAGGATTATGATAAATTCCTTGGATTCTCAAGTTGAAATTGCATGTTTATACATGTGTATTGTTTGTATGCTTAAGGAAATTGGGCTATGTTGTAAAATTGAAAAAGGTTAAGTTGATTGAGCATGTGACTTAAGATTCTTGTGGTATTATACACTTGAAACCCATGTTATTGTGATGTTGAACCCTTGTGTTACATTAATTTCTCTCATTTTATGCTTTGAATTGAGTATGCCAAGTTGAAAGAGTACATGAATTTCGGACTGCACAAACAGGAAAATCGCCGCACATGTGGGGGCCATGGTTGCACGTGCGGAAGCACTGCCGCACGTGCTGGAGTCATGGCCGCACGTGCAAAAAATGGAGAATTTTTGGGTTTTGGCTACTGCTAAAAAGACACGTACAGGGCTTCCCAACCGCACGTGCAGGGCTCACAGCCGCACGTGCGGCCCATGCTGCAAAATAATATTTGCTCTGTTTTACGTGCTTGACCCTCTGATATTTTTGAAATCTGTATTTGATGCCTTCTGATGTTTGTAAAATTCATTCGAAGCGAAGTGAGTCAGGACATGATTCAACAAAGAAAAAGGAACTAATTTGCAAGTTATGTATGTGTACAGGACACACTCCGGGAGGGACTAACGCTCCGTCACAACACAATGAGCAATAGTACGATAGATGTACATTTATTTACCGTTAATAATTAATGTTATTAACGTTCTGTTCTTCGCAAGTAATCACGTTAATATGTATATTGTTTGGGAATCGGTGTGAACTTATGTAAACGTTGGAAGAATATGTGTACATTTGTATCACTCTGGGATTATTCTGCTCTGTTGATATCTAGGCCAGAGGCCATTCTGTAAAGTCTGTTAGGCCTGAGGCCGATCTGCAAAATCTGTTGGGCCTATGGCCAATCTGTAAACTCTGTTAGGCCTAAGGTCGTTCGGTATATTACTACCCTTAAAGCCACTCTGTTTAAAGACTGGGCCTAAGGCCGTTCTGGAACAATTACAGGAGAAGATTAACCAGAAGTTCTCTGCATTTATATATAGTGTAATTCAAGTTAATCATTAAATTGTTTACGTACTATTATTCACTGAGCTTCGCTCACTCTGTGTTATGTCTGTTTTGTAGGTACTCAGTCTGGAGGTCAGTCCTAGTCCAACCTGGACCACTTGTCTTTTGCTATTACACCACAACCAAACCCTAAGCAAAGCTCATTCATTTTGTGGAATCCTTGCAGAGCTTTTGGCTTCGTATACTGAACCTTCTGTCGGATATTGTAAAACATAATTAACTTCTCCTAGCCCAGTTTTGTTACATCCCCAGACTCGGGGATGGGTCTGTATATTTGTTCATATATATAAATAGCTGTGTGTGTGTTTATTATATGATGCAATACCCGACATCAAGTGTTTGATCTTGGCATGTTAGTGTTAGCTCAATGGATGTTATTTTGTATTGTTTAATGCTTCCGTTCAGGCCCCGTAGGTTATACATATTGGATCTTATGTCTGTTTCTGAAGTGGTCATGCCCAAACTTTTAGGCGCGGGTTAGGGCATGACAAGTGGTATCAGAGCACGAGTTGCTATCTCACACACGAATCCATTGAGCCTTAGGGTGTCTAGAAAAGACTTAGGCATCTTGCATATCATTCTGAAAACAAGTGAATAGATGGATGGCAACGTTAATTGTATGTATAACATCTGCTAATGCTAATGATTATAGTTCATGCCTGTTGTGTATCTTTTGTGTATATTGTAATTGATTGCCATGTAGAATATGGTGAGAACAAGAACAGAAGACCCGGAAGATGCTACTTCCGCACGATTGGATAGGATGGAGAGAATGATCATGGAAATGGCAGACACTTTATGGCAACAACAGCAACAGCCACAACCACAACCGCCGCCGCCACCGGTACGTCCACCGGTGGCACAAGATTTTCATGTTGAGGACCGAACTATCACACTCACGAGGGAATTTAAGAAGATGAAGCCGCCATCATTCAAGGGAGGAATAGAACCAATGAAAACTGAAGCGTGGGTGTTGGCAATAGAAAAACTGTTTGAAGTATTTCCTTGTACCGAAGCCCAAAAAGTGTAACTTGCTGCCTTCACTCTTGAAGACGAAGCACAGCGGTGGTGGATGCTTACGAGAACTGTGCATCAAGGCTTAACATGGAACAGATTCTTGGAATTGTTTTATGACAAGTACTTTCCTCAAAGTATAAGAGACAAGAAGGTGACGGAATTTGAAACTCTTAGACAAGGAAATAAAACCGTTGTAGAGTATGAAGCTCAATTTGCAGACCTAGCCCGGTTTGCACCTCATATGGTGGATACGGATTATAAGAAGGCACGTAAATTTGAAGAGCGATTATGGAGTGCTATCCTGGACCGAGTTAACATGTTGAAGTTACCCACTTATGTCGATGTACTGGAAAGGGCTGTTATAGCAGAGGGAAACCTTACTGCTCAGAATCAGATTGCTGAATGGAAAGGAAAGAGGCAGAACAATCAATTGCCAAAAGGGTCATTCACTCCACCTAGCAAGAAACAAAATTCAGGGACTTCTGGTACTTCCACCCTTACTCCAGATTCAGCTCCGATCTATTCAAAATGTGGAAAGAAGCACCGTGGGACTTGTTATCGATTGTCTGGAGCGTGTTTTCAATGTGGCAAAACGGGTCACTTGGTAAGGGATTGCCCTAAGAGGAATCAACAGAATGGTAATAGGGCCACTACAAGTTTAGCAGGGTCTACACTAGCTCCCAACATCAAGTCAGCTGCCAAGCCTGTTAACAATAAAGACACTGCAAGACAAGGCAGGGTATTTGCATTGGTTCTAGGAGATGTACAGAATGCTGCAACCGTGGTGTCAAGTACATTTATTGTTCATGGTCATTCTGTGCATGAATTGTTTGATTCTGGCTCCACCCACTCTTTTGTGTCAAAATTGTTTGCACAAAATTTAGATAGGTCTGAAGAAGTATTACAATATGTGCTATGCGTATCCTCACATTTGGGGGATTCTATGATCTGTACTTATGTATATTTTTCTTGTGAACTCCTAATTGGGGATATCTGGGTATATGCCAACTTATTACCTCTTGACATGACCCACTTCAATATTATTCTGGGTATGGACTGGCTGAGTGAATATGGTGCAACTATTGACTGTTTGACTAAGCAAATCAGTTTTCATCCTCCGGGACAATCCGAATCTACCTTTCGGGGACAGGGAGTGGTTTCCCCACCTTATTTGATTTTTGCAGTAAAGGTCTGTAAATTGATTCAGAAAGGGTGTCAGGGATATTTATGCAGTGTTTTGGAAGGGCAAGTGATAAATGGGGGTACCAACATGATTCCAGTTGTCTGTAAATTTCTGGATGTTTTTCCGGAAGAATTACCGGGGGAGTTAATAGACCGTGAAATCGAGTTTACAATTGAAGTGGCACCGGAACTCAACCTATTTCTAAAACTCCATATTGGATGTCACCAGTTGAAATGAAGGAATTAAAGATTCAGTTGCAAGATTTGCTTGATAAAGGGTTCATACGCCCAAGTGTCTCTCCTTGGGTTGCACCAGTTCTATTTGTGAAAAAGAAAGATGGAACGCTCCGATTATGTATAGATTATAGGGAACTCAATAAGGTAACAATCAAGAATAAGTACCCATTGTCGCGGATTGATGATTTGTTTGACCAGCTACAAGGGGCACAAGTCTTTTTGAAAATTGACTTACGGTCCGGATACCACCAATTGAAGGTCAAAGTTGATGATGTTGAGAAAACATCTTTTTGAACCCGATACGACCATTATGAATTTTTGGTTATGCCTTTTGGAGTTACTAACGCACCAGCAGCATTTATGGATTTAATGAATCGTGTCTTCAAGCCCTAGCTGGATGAATTTGTAGTGGTATTTATCGATGATATCCTCATTTACTCGAAGAATGCAGAAGTTCATGAGAATCATCTTCATCTAATTCTTCAAACACTTTGAGATAAGAAATTGTATGCAAAACTGAAGAAATGCGAATTCTGGCTACATGAAGTAGCATTCTTAGGGCATGTAATAACGGAAGAAGGTGTATATGGAGATCCGCATAAAATTGAGGCGATCGTGAATTGGCCAACTCCTACCAACGTGACTGAGGTGCGTAGTTTTATGGGACTAGCCAGGTATTATAGAAGGTTTGTTCAAGAATTCTCCAAAATCGCTGTACCACTTACACAATTGACTCAGAAGGGGATTGTATTTGAGTGGTCAGAACAGCAAGAATCTGCTTTCCAGGAGTTGAAAACAAAGTTGACAACAGCCACGGTTCTAGCACTACCATCCGGTACCAAAGGATTTTGTAATCTACAGTGACGGTTCTTTTAAAGGACTTGGTTGTGTGCTTATGTAAAATGGGAGAGTCATCGCCTATGCTTCCTGACAGCTTAAACCCCATGAAAAGAATTATCCTACACATGATCTTGAGCTAGTAGCAGTGGTTTTTGCCTTGAAAATATGGCGGCACTATCTGTATAGGACTACCTGTGAAGTTTATACTGATCATAAGAGTCTTAAGTACCTTTTTACGCAGAAAGAGTTGAATATGCGACAGCGACGATGGTTGGAACTCATTAAGGATTATGATTTACAGATTCATTACCATCCGGGTAAAGCCAATACAGTCGCAGGTGCACTAAGCCGGAAAGGCACAGGGATCTTGGCAAATCTGTTTACGAAACAAAGAGAGTTATTAGTTGATTTGGATAAAATGAATGTTGATCTTGTGATGCATGGGCAGGGGACCATAGTAGCAGCGGTGATGGCCCAACCGACATTACTTGAAGAGATCAAATTACGTCAAATGGAAGATGAAACTTTGAGGAAAATATATGATGAGCTAGAGACAAAACCAAGACCAGGATTCAATTTGGTGAATTCAATGCTCAAATTTCAAGGCAGATTATGTGTTCCCAATGTACCAGAAGTTAAGTAGAAATTGATGGAAGAAGCTCATGCCTCGAGATTCTCATTACACCCTGGAAGTACTAAAATGTATTGGGATTTGAAACAAAATTTTTGGTGGCCAAGTATGAAAAAGGAAATTGCGGATTTCGTCTCTAGATGTTTGCAATATCAGCAAGTAAAGGTAGAGCATCAGAGACCAGCAGGATTACTGCAACCCCTTCCAATCCCGGAATGGAAATGGGAACACCTGACCATGGATTTTGTTGTGGGGTTACCACGGACCCCTCGGGGTATGAATTTTGTATGGGTCATTGTGGACCGATTAACTAAGTCCGCTCACTTTCTACCTGTGAAGACTTAGTATAATGCAGATAAACTTGCTGTGATTTATGTGAATGAAATTGTAAGACTCCATGGTGTTCCGGTCTCAATTGTGTCAGACAGAGATCCAAAATTTGTTTCGAGATTCTGGCAAAGCCTACAAGAAGCGATGGGTACGGAATTAAAGTTTAGCACAGCCTTTCACCCTCAGACTAACAGACAATTCGAGAGAACAATATAGACATTGGAAGATATGCTTCGAATGTGTGTTTTAGACTTCCAGGAAAGTTGGAAAATTCATCTACCGTTGGTAGAGTTCGCATACAAAAACAGTTACCATTCGAGTATTGAGATGGCACCCTATGAGGCTCTGTATGGAAGACCATGTCGTTCCCCCGTGTGTTGGGCCGAAATTGGAGATAGATCATTGCTAGGGCCCGAAATTGTTCAGTTGACAACTAAAAAGGTTAAAACTATTTGGGAAAGATTGAAAACTGCCCAAAGTAGGCAGAAGAGTTATGCGGATAACCGATGAAGGAATTTGGAATTTGAAGTGGGCAGTCATGTGTTTGTGAAAGTTACTCCGATGAAAGGACACCCCAGGTTCGGGAAAAGGGATTAGTTAACACCCCGATATGTTGGCCCCTTTCAAATTTTAGAAAGAGTGGGTTCGGTAGCTTACTGAGTTGCCCTTCCGCCAAATATGAGTCAAGTACATAACGTGTTCCATGTCTCTATGCTTCGAGGATATCTTCCAGATCCATCTCATGTCATAGATTACCACCAAATTATGTTGGATGACAAGTTAACTTATACAGCAAAACAAATTCAAATTCTAGACCGGCAAGTGAAACAGTTACGAAATCTAGAAATTCCAATGGTAAAAGTTGAGTGGCAAGAACATTACGGAACCGAAGCAACTTGTGAAAAAGAAGAGGAAATGCAACACCAATATCCGCATATGTTCCTATCCTAAGGTAAAACAAGTTTGAGGGACCAAACTTATTTAGGGGGGGGGAGTGTAATAACCCGACCCTCGTACAAGATTTGGGTATATTTGTAGTCCCTTATTCCTTGCTTTTAAAGGCTTATTGTGAAATTAAGTTTAATTAAGTGAATCCTATGATTATGGATGCATATCTGTCTAATAAGAGAAAAATCTATCACAATTCCAATGTTTGGATCAGAAATTGGAAGCCTTAGAAACTTAATTATCTGAAATTGATTTTATATCTAAGACCAACATGATTTTTAGGTTATAATATGATTTTCTGTGAAATTTCAATTTGGAAAGACTAAACTGACTGATTTTCGTCCTTATTCATTTTTTTTTATATATATATCTAAGTTCCTCGGACTCTTGACTTAGAGCCATTTTCATAAATCTCTCTTGGGGAAGAGTTTGAGAGGAAGAGGAGTTCTTCAAGGGAGAAGATTAGGGAGTTGAGAGGGTTTGTGGAGATTGAACCAAGGTATGTATGAATCACTTTAAATAACCTCTCTTTAACCTCTTCTTAAGGGTAGTAATAATACTTCCATGCAAGCTAGAGTTTGTCTTTGAGATCAAGTGTGTGTGTCAATTGTTTCATTGGGAAACATTCTTAGCATTTAGTTGTTTGGAGGTACTTTGAATTATATGGGAGGATTATGATAAATTCCTTGGATTCTCAAGTTGAAATTGCATGTTTATACATGTGTATTGTTTGTACACTTAAGGAAATTGGGTTATGTTGTAAAATTGAAAAAGGTTAAGTTGATTGAGCCTGTGACTTAAGATTCTTATGGTATTATACACTTGAAACCCATGTTATTGTGATGTTGAACCCTTGTGTTACATTAGTTTCTCTCATTTTGTGCCTTGAATTGAGTATGCCAAGTTGAAAGAGTACATGAATTTCGGACTGCACAAACAGGGAAATCACCGCACGTGCGGGGGTCATGGCCGCACGTGCGGAAAATGGAGAATTTTTGGGTTTTGGCTACTGCTAAAAAGGCACGTGCGGGGATTTCTAGCCACACGTGTGGGACCAACTACCGCACGTGCGGGGCTCACAGCCGCACGTGCGGCCTATGCTGCAAAATAATATTTGCTCTGTTTTACGTACTTGACCCTCTGATATTTTTGAAATCTGTCTTTGATGCCTTCTGATGTTTGTAAAATTTATTCGAAGTGAAGTGAGCCAGGACATGATTCAACAAAGAAAAAGGAACTAATTTGAGAGTTATGTATGTACACACTCCGGAAGGGACTAACGCTCCGTCACAACATAGTGAGTAATAGTACGATAGATGTACATTTATTTACCGTTAATAATTATTGTTATTAACGTTCTGTTCTTCGCAAGTAATCATGTTAATATGTATATTGTTTGGGAATCAGTGCGAACTTATGTAAGCGTTGGAAGAATTTGTGTACATTTGTATCACTCTGGGATTATTCTGCTCTGTTGATATCTAGGCCAGAGGCCATTCTGTAAAGTCTGTTAGGCCAGAGGCCGATCTGTAAAATCTGTTGGGCCTATGGCCAATCTATAAACTCTGTTAGGCCTAAGGTCGTTCAGTATATTACTAGCCTTAAAGCCACTCTGTTTAAAGACTGGGCCTAAGGCCGTTCTGGAACAATTACAGGAGAAGATTAACCAGACGTTCTCTACATTTATATATAGTGTAATTCAAGTTAATCATTAAATTGTTTACGTACTATTATTCACTGAGCTTCGCTCACTCTGTGTTATGTCTGTTCTGTAGGTACTCAGTCTGGAGGTCAGTCCTAGTCCAACCTGGACCACTTGTCTTTTGCTATTACACCACAACCAAACCCTAGACGAAGCTCATTCATTTTGTGGAATCCTTGCCGAGCTTTTGGCGTCGTATACTGAACCTTCTGTCGGATATTGTAAAACATAATTAACTTCTCCTAGCCCAGTTTTGTTACATCCCCAGACTCGGGGAAGGGTCTGTATATTTGTTCATATATATAAATAGCTATATATGTGTTTATTATATGATGCAATACCCAACATCAAGTGTTTGATCCTGGCATGTTAGTGTTAGCTCAATGGATGTTATTTTGTATTGTTTAATGCTTCCGTTCAGGCCCCATAGGTTATACATATCAGATCTTATGTCTGTTTCTGAAGTGGTCATGCCCAAACTTTTAGGGGCGGGTTAGGGCGTGACAGATTGCCTTTTTATTCGAAACAAGAGATTCAAATTGAATTAGAT